TGACTGGCAGTGGCTGCAACAGTGCGGTGATGGGGCTGGTGCCTTCCCCTGATCAGCCCGGTCGACTCTCACAAAGGGAGGCCAGACTGTGGCTTAGGCCCACTCCCCAAGGGGAGCAGGGAGCAGGTAGTAGGACATCCCCTAGGGCTCCCAGTATGTGATAGGGGGCAACCTGGGCTGAGGGAACTCCCCAGTGCACAAATTTTTGTGCACCGGGCCCCTAGTCCTATATAATAAAAGGCTAATATGCAAATTGTCCCCTCGACCGGGAGTTCAACCAGGGGGTGGGGCTGGCCAGCCAACCAGCCAACTGCATGAGGCCCCTCCCCCCAGCTGACCTCGCCCCTGATTGGCCCCACCCCCACCTTAATCAGGGCAGGCTGGCCAGACCCCACCCATGCACGAATTCGTGTACCGGGCCTCTAGTCTTCTATAATGAATATTGTGAGGCTATAAAAGCAGAGTATACACTCTCCTGGGCAATGTGAAATCAACCTTCTTCTTTTTTTAATTTCTTTTTGGGCCTCTGAAATCATCCCCACACCCTACCCCCAGCCCACATACCTTTTACTCTTGCATTTCTAATACTGGACTCCTAATTAATACTGAAAAATGAAGCCAGGTTTTTTTCAGTATCACTTGCTTTTTTTGCCACTCTGACCACAATTTACATTGTTCTCCCGAAAGCCTCTTCTCATTATATCATTTCACTGGCTCAAAGTCCAGGATCTTGTTATGTGCACATAACAGGTCCACACGTGGATAAGAATCCTTGGATACAATTCCTCTCAAGGTGGAAACCTATAACGAAGAAAATAAGTTATTTTTCTTCCCCAAACACCCAATATATGAGCAAGGGATAGAAAAAGTGTAACAGAACTCCCATTCAAAAGGGAGGGTGGAGTGGAGGCATATAACAATCACTGGTCCACAGCAATAAAATTATGGTCAGAAACTATGTAGATTGCCTCTGCCATGTTCCAAAGCAGCATTGTCATTACATGTGTTACATTCTATTTACCAACTAAGACAGACATTTGAAGACCATTTTTTCTAAAAAGTACAGTATCAACTACCCCCTCTAGTTTTTTAAAATAAACATCTAACATATCATCAAACCATATGTCTGCAGAGGCTTCTAGGGGGAAGAAATATTAAATAACTACATGATATGCATGGTTTAGTGGTTTTGCTTATAAATTAGTAAAACCAGGCTACAGTTCAATCAGCTCTTCATTGAGATCATCTTAAAATTACACTTTTCAAAAGCAACAGGTTCATATTCTACTGTGCCCCTTACATGACAAAAAAGCAACCAATAGTTGGGATTTCTTCAGTAACATTTATTCAATTGCTGAGCCATACCTAATTTTCTTTTAAAAAAATCTTTATTGTTGCGAGTATTACAGATGTCCTTCCCCACCCCCATTGCCCTCTCCACCCAGTTCCTGCCCCACCCCAGGGCTTCACCACCCTACTGTGTCCATAGATCTTTGGTTAATCTTTTCCCATCCTCTCCTCCCCCCTTCCCTCTGAGATTCGTCAGTCTGTTCCATGCTTCCATGCCTCTGATTGTTTTATTCACCAGTTTATTTAATTAGATTTCTTGTTTGCTTATTTTGATTTTTAGATTCCATTGTTGATAGATATGTATTTGTTGCCATTTTATTGTTCATATTTTTAATCTCTCCTCCTCCTCCTTCTTCAATAATATCCTTCAACATTTCATATAATACTAGTTTGGTGGTGATGAACTCCTTTAGCTTTTTCTTGTTTGTGAAGCTCTTTATCTGACCCTCAATTCTAAATGAGAGCTTGGCTGGATAGAGTAATCTTGGTTGAAGGTCCTTACTATTCACCACTTTGAATATTTCTTGCCACTCCCTTTTGGCCTGTGAAGTTTCTGTTGAGAAATCAGCTGATAGTTGTATGGGCGCTCCCTCGGAGGTAACTAACTGCTTTTTTCTTGCTGCTTTTAAGATTCTCGCTTTGTAACCCTTAGCATTTTAATTATGGTATGTCTTGGTGTGAGCCTCTTTGGGCTCCTTTTGTTTGGGACTCTTCTGTGCTTCCTGGACTTGTAAGTCTATTTCTTTTACCATGTAGGTAAAGTTTTCTGTCATTATTTCAAATAGGTTTTCAATATCTTGCTCTCTCTCTTCTGGCGACCCCATAATGCGACTGTTGGTATGCCTGAAGTTGTCCCAGAGGCTCCTTACACCTTCTTCATATTTTTGGATTCTTTTTGCTCTTCTGATTGGGTGTTTTTTGCTTCCTCATATTAAAAAACATTGATTTCTCAGAATCCTCTCCTCTACTGCTGAATCCTTGTAAATTGCTATTTAAGTTAGTGTAAGCTTAATTTCTGACTGGAACTTTTTTATGTCTTTGACATTCTCACTAAGATCCTTGAAAGTCTCATCAAGATCCTTGAGTAACCTTATAACCATGGTTTTGAACTCTGTGTCCAGTTTGCTTGCTTCCTTTTCTTTCATTTGTGACATGTTTCTTTGTCTCTGCATTTTTGCTGCTTCCTTGTGTTTGTTTCTATGTATTAGTTTCTACGTACTATGTCTCCTGGAATTGGGAGAGTGGCCTTGTATAGTAGGTGTCCTGTAGGGCCCAGTGGCTCAGCCTCCCCAGTCACCTGAGCTGGGCAGTTTAGGCATGCCCCTGTGTGGGCTGTGTACACAGTCTTAAAGTTGAGCCTTGATTGCTGTTGGTGTCACTGGGAAGAATTGACCTCCAGGCCAATTGGCTGTGAGGACCAGCTGCGGCTACAGTGGGGGAATACTGCTGTGCAAGAGGCGAGGCCCAGCTGTGAAGCAAGGCAAACTGGTGTTAGTGCTGGGCCTTGGGCCTTTTATTTATGGGTTTGAAGCATGCTGTCACCAGAGGTAGTTTGTCTGAGAGATTTTAGCAAAGTCTGAGGCCTGAGCCAGAACAGGCCATTCACATAGAAAAGCTGCTGCAAATGGCTTGGGTGGGGCTGTAGATTGGACAGGGTGCGGTCTCAGGGAATCCCCAGGGTGGAACAAACAGTGTGGGCAGGCTGATTGAGACTCAGCTATGGCTCCCAGTCAGCCCTGTGACAGGGGAGGTCCCAGCATAGGAACAATGACCCTTTCGAGCACCCGTCTGGTGGAAAGCCACTCCTGAGTTCCTGCCCCAATTCCAGACAGTCCAGTTCCTCCCCATATGTGTCTGGGTCCCCAAGAGCTACTCAAGTGCTGGAGCTCAGAGGCATCAAGTCCAAGCACGTTTGTGCGCTGGCCCTTTAAAAGGAACAGCTGCATCTCCAGCAGCCTCTGTGTGTCTGTCACAATCCCTGCTGGTGTTTACAGCCTGTAGTTATGGTGATTTCTCTTCCCAGCTCTGGAACCCTGGGCTGGGGGTCTAGTGTGGGGCTGAGACCCCTTGTTCCTCAGGGGCAGCCTCTGCAGAGACAATCTCCCTCCCAATTAAAAAAGCAGCACATGCCCAGCTAGCATGGCTCAGTGGTTGAGCACTGACCTCTGAACCAGGAGGTCATAGTTCAATTCCCAGTCAGGGCACATGTCCGGGTTGTGGGCTTGAACCCCAATAGGGAGCGTGCAGGAGGCAGGCGATCAATGTTTCTCTCTCATCATTGATATTTCTCTCTTTCTCCCCTCTCATTTCCTGAGATCAATAAAAATATATTTTTAAAAAATCAGTTTGTAACCTTTCTTCCCCAGAAGTTAATGGCATCGAGGGGAGTTGCTTCACTGGCCCAGGACAGTTCTAGAGGTTTGTACATGCTTTGAGCTCCTTGGCTGTGAGATGAATGGATGTGCCGAATCCCTGAGCCCGAAGGACAACACCATTCCCAAAAGCAGAGCACGGCCTCCAGCATCTACAGGACCTGGAGCCTGAGTTCCTTCAGCTGGTATCGCTCTATACATGGCTGAAAAGGCAGGGCAAATTCAATGCCTGGACTGCTGAGAGGAACTCTGCCTTCGAGTGCTGGGCTCCTAGAAGCGAGTGACAGACATCATCATGCAGGGGGCCCGAAATGTTGGCCACATCCCGAGTGTGGCAGCCTACAAGGTGGACCACAGTAATGAGTGTGTGAACAGGACTGAGTATAGGAACCAGGGGCTGTAGACAGCAAGGTCTTCCCAGGCAACTAGGACAATTATTCCCACAAGAACATTTGAGATGCCCTTCTTGGCTTGCTTTTTGCGCATCCTGCCCATACATAGCCTGGCACAACCACTCTGCATGTGGAGCTGCTGGGCTGTTAGAAGGCCCCGCTAAAGTGACCAGGGCAGCCATGGGACACCTGCCCCTTCCCTGGTCCTCCTGACCTTCTGCCTCCTCCACCAACCCCGACAATTATTCCCACAAGAACATTTGAGATGCCCTTCTTGGCTTGCTTTTTGCGCATCCTGCCCATACATAGCCTGGCACAACCACTCTGCATGTGGAGCTGCTGGGCTGTTAGTAGGCCCCGCTAAAGTGACCAGGGCAGCCATGGGACACCTGCCCCTTCCCTGGTCCTCCTGACCTTCTGCCTCCTCCACCAACCAGTTTGTAAAAAATCAGTTTCTTCCTGATTATAGTGACAGGGGTGGGAGGGGCATGGGTTGGGTTCAGTTACCTCCGCCTCTCTCCATCCTCCTCACCCCTCACCTTCCACATGCCCCACCTCCCACCTCTCCCCAGTGCCCAGCACTCATTCCATCCCATTTTCTTAGGTGTGTGGGAGTTGAATAGGTCTGGATGTTCAGGGAAGAGCCAAGTCGGAGGTGTAGGTTACTGGCACTTTTCCAGACCCACAATTCCAGCCTGTGTGTCCTCCAGAGGCCGCCCCCCACACCCCATGTTCCCATGGCCCTGGAGGAAGGCCCTGAGGCGCCAGGCTGGAGATAAGTCTCCTGACCCTCAGCCCTGAGGCATGATGCTGCCACTGCCACAGCTGCCACTTAGACCTCTGATACTCCCCCCTTATCTCCTTGGAGACCCCTCTTGACACTTGTGAGACAGCCTAGAAAGAGACAGAGGGAGTGGGATGGGTCTGTGGAGACTGGAGGATGTGGGTGGGCATGGGAGGCCCTGAGTGCTCTGGCTCTTCACTGGAGAATGCACAGGCAGCTTCCAAAATACATTTATATCACTTAAAAAAAAAAGGTGAGGCAGAG